GTCGGACAGCCGATCGAGACCCATTATCGGAAACCGATGAAAATTCTCTTTTACTCGCGCCTCAATTCGCCACGTTGCCGATTATTCTTTTTGCTCGCTGTTTTTTCCGTCGATTTTTGTTTTTCCGATGATTTTTTTTCCTTTCCCGATTTTATTTTTTTCTCCCTCTCTCCCTCTGTCTCTGTCTATGTTCGTTCGACGCTTCTCATTCGCCCGTTGCCCGATTCCTATCTCGGCGCGCAGGATATTGAAGGTATCTGCCCCGGCATCGGTTATAAATTCCGACATTTTTTCCGCGCGAGAGAAATTCCGCATCCTGCCGCGCACCCTTCGCCACGGCTTTCTCCGGCGCGTCGCCTGGACAGCGCGAAAAATAACGAGAAACGGGAACGATAAAAACCAGCGACGCGCGGTTGTGACGTCTGTCGATCGCGACGCCGTTTCACGCCCGCGTGTCTGACCGTGATTCTTTGTTCGTCGACGGTGGTTGCGCCCGCTTTTTTTTGCGCCGGGAATGGCTACTGATGTTTGTTCATTTATTCCCATGCGTTCGGGCGCTGGAAATATTTTCGTTGTCATCCTTCCTCGTGGAAATGCGTACCTTTCGTTCGAGGGATTTTCGCGACAGTCCCAATGTACTAGTGATCAGATTTATACAAACTTCTGTAGTTCAATTCGTACTATTTACTTTCGCCACAAAGCTAATGTATCATTTTACTATCGACAGTTTGCAAAAAATGTAACAAAATTGTCCATTCTACTTCAAGTGGAAATTTTATTTGAAGACAATACAATAATAACAAAATAGTTGTTTGCTTTGATCCGTGGGTAATGAACATTAGTTGTTAAATTAGTCTAGAAATCTTCATCACGAGTCTCACTCGTCATTGTACGGCAAGGGGGTGATTAAAATTCGATCAGGCTGATTTTTGATATTCAACACAATTGCTTAACAGGAAAAGAAGGAAACTTCTGATCTCTTGTTGTTCCACTAATTCACTCATTTGCTCGCGACTTGGTTTTCCGAATACAATTTCATCTCGCTAGAACGTCGACATTCGTCCGCGAAGAGTGAACACCAGCGAAGGCCCGCGTCGTTCGAAACAAAAGCGTCTGCAAAGTTCCCATTCCGTCGGCCAGATGTCCATGTAACCCAATAGCAAACTAATTCCTGAAGTGTTCGTGATTCCATCGCGTGCTCGGTCCACGGACCGGGACCGACCGCGGCGCTGCCGTCCGGTCGCACCCCCGCGCGGCAAACACGCAGACTTTATTCGCGCGACTCGTCGCGCTCGTCCGTTCCGTCCGCTCATTTTTCCATTTTCATCCTGGTCGTCCTCTCTTTTTTTCTGTCGCATTCTATTTTTTTCATCCTCGTATTTTATATATATATATTTTTTTGTTCGCGGGAAAGAGGTGCGAGACGAAAACGATATAGAGCGGCGCCGCCGATTATCGCGATGAAAATTGTGGCCCCCGGCCAAATGTCGCACGGGGATAAAGGTCTAACCACTCGTTGGCGGGAAATGCATCGGACTTGTGCACCGGTGCGCCGCGTAAATCCGAAAATTCATTACTGCAGCGTGGCGCGGCGCGGCGCGATTGTTCGTAGCCAGAACGCGGAGTTTCGGGGCTGCGAAACGGCGGCATTAATGGTCCGCCGTCAGGATTTACACGAGGAGAGGGAGAAAGAGAGAGAAAGAGGGCAAGAGAGAGACAGTCTGTGTGTGTGTGGAAGGGGGGAGATGGCCATTGTTGACAAGCAAATATAGAATTTTCACGACTGCCGATTGAAACGCCGGCCGAGCAAACCGGACAGCCCGGGCCAGAATTAATAACTCGATCGTAAATTACGATTACCGGGCTGTATTTTGAATTCAAATGACTGACTGCCATGCCGCGTTCTCGCGTGATCCCTGCCTGATTGCGATTGCCTCCTGCCGCGATAATGACGACAATCCAATTCCGCGAATTTATATCGCGCGCGGATTATAAGCGACGGTGTTCGTTTCGCTTAATCGCCACCCTCTAACGACTTCGGTTGTTGCCGTCGCTGTGGGTCGGGGAATTAACTGTGAAGACGCGGTTGATTAAGGACCGTCGTTGAAGAGTGTTTGTTCTATTTGACGGTCGCCGAAAGTCGTATCGCAGTTCTGCAATGTTTTACAACTTTTCTCCGCGAGAGAGCTAGACTCGCTTACTCGCGGAGATCGCTGTATCTCAGGGTTTTAACGTCTCTATCGATGTATCATTCAAATTTTAACTATTTGCAGTCGAAAGTTTTTCACTGGAAATATTTGAACACTTTCCGATGAGATCAATAAGTCTCTCACTAGTAATATTTGAACATTTTCTGATGATAAAGATACTCCGTGGAAATCGCAGAGGAATTCTACATTTAGGAACACGGTTACTTAATTTCAATATTTCTCAAATTGACGCGTTATACGATGTAATATTATATATCAAATTTTAGTACAGCTCTCAAGTGTAATCACCTCGAGTGCAAAGGGTTGAGTTTATGAAACGTACAGAGTCTTCAACAGATGAAGTTGAATTAAATATTAATTACTTAATTAATAGGAAAACAGGAAACTACGTTCTCTTGCTGTTTCTCTAATTAAATCATCTGTTCGCGACTTAGTCTTCCGAATATAACCATCTGATCTCGCCGGAATGACATTCGTCGAAGGGTTAATAAATTTCATTCGCTTATCGATTTCTTTAGAATCTAACATCACGGTTAAAGGATCGCTTATGTTTCTCCTTTCCAGAGGGCGAAGATGCCGCGGAGGACGAGGATTCCTACCTCCTGGAGGAGGACGACGTGCCTTCGGCGACGATAGCCACGGACACCGAGCTGATATCGGAGGCGGGCGGCCATCTGCCCGTCTTCCTCACCGAACCGGTCGACTCGTTCGTGGTCAAGAACAAACCGGCCACGCTGCACTGCAAAGCCGCGCACGCGTTACAGATCTATTTCCGTTGCAACGACGCGAGGGCGGAGGACTCGCAGCAGCAGGACTTCGTCGATCCGCACACTGGGACCAGGATCGTCGACTGCGAGCTGAACGTGACCAGAGACCACATCGAGGAGTATTTCGGCAGGGACAAGTTCAAGTGCGAGTGCATCGCGTGGTCTGGATCAGGTCAGATCAAGAGTCAGCCTGCTACCGTCGATGTTGCTTGTGAGTACAATTATTCTCTTCACTTGAAACTACCTTCTGCATAATTCATATATTCTTTGGCCGTTCGAGAATTTATTAATCGTACCATTATTTGAAAGGGAAATTTAGATCGCGTATATTAGTTTGACTGCTGAGGATATATTTCACATTTTTATATTGTTATATATAGTATTTCACATTTTTATATAGTTTTATATTTCCTTATGTTTTACCAAAATTGCGAAAAGCGCGATAACACTGCTCTGAATCAGTAAAAGTTGTGCATCCAGTAAAGCTCGTTGCGTTTGAGCATATGATTTCTATTTGTTTAAAAATTATTCGTGTTAATTTGAGTGAATTATAAGTGCATTTTACTAATTCTATCCACAAAATGAGTTAAAACAAATTGAAGTAAACAAATGATATTTTTAAAAATTTTTGTTGTTGCAATGCAATATAAGTGAGTTTATTGTATGAAAAGTGTTTTCCATTTTTTCCCAGTTTTGGCATATGACCGAAAAATCCGTCAGCAGTAATCCAATATTTTACATAATGACAATGAAATTAATAGATACTGTTATTAGAAATTACAAACTATATATTTAGTTCAATGATTCGTTTCAGTTTTATTTATAATATTCTGTTCAGATTTATTGGAAGAAAATATAATTGAGACTGTCCTCGAAATTCTATTAAGGCGATAAAGGGATTAATTGCATCTCAGTCTATTGACTATCGCCTCACCAATTAGTATTCTACGAACGTACAACGAAAATCCCGCATAAAACGACAGCCGTAGCGCGCAGAAAATCAAATCCTCTAATACACGTCCCCCCAAAAGACAAACACATTCGTCACCCGTGAACCTCGCCCCATGAACCCCCGAAGTGTACACATCAGAATTCCCCGCGAGAAAACCTGTCCCGATAAATATTCAACTGTTTGTCCGTCGCGCTGCGAAGACGGCGCACGGCTCTCGTCTTAACTTTACCCTCGCCCCTCCTAATTATCTCGATTCCGACGGCCGAGGTCATTATTTAATTCCGACCCTTAATGCGGGCCAATGCAGCGACCGTAGTTTCTAAGAGAATCAATTTAGGGAAGGACCATTTGCGCACCGTCCGGCTTACGTAACCCTCTTTACGAACGAACGTCTCGTTCGCGAAAACGGCGACAATAAATCGGGCCGG